GGGGGGGGGGGGGGGGGGGGGGCTCGTTCCCCGTTGTCTGTTTTTTCGCGCAGACGAAATAAAATTGAAATTGTTATTTAGATTCTCCAGGAAAAATACGCAAAAAACAGCATTAACTTTTTTTTTTGTTTTTTTTTTTTTTGTTTGCGTTTTAGATTCTTTTTTTTTATGCCTGGGACATTGAGGCGATGGCACAGGGCAATCGTACCACTACGGTTATTCTTCTTGCTTTGTTTACCTGCGCACAAACTCTGAAACGTTGGTTGCCCCCAAAAAAACGTTCCCCGGAAGTCTCTCCGTATGGGTAAACAACACCATACATTTAAAGGGGCCCTGCAATCATATTTAAGCGTCTACCTTTTTTGCGGTTTCCACGTCTCTTGTGGTTCGGGCAAGCCAGCGGGCACGGAGAGAGTAACTAAATATCAGCGAGTCATATTTTAACCGGAAGATGCGGAAACCTCCTCCACCGACGAGGGCGACCCGCGGTACCAAAAGCGCGCAAATTGTGACGTCTTTGGTCCTGACCTTACTACTGGTCAGAGCCGCTAAAAGCTTGCAAGGGGGTAGAAGCTGAGCTGGTTGGTGGTACATATTATAACGGTTAAACCAGCTGAACTACGAAATAAGGGAGAAAGGAGTAAACACAAGTGATCGCTGGACTACCAACTATTTAAAGGGGCGGTGCAATGATTTTCGGACTTCGGTCAAAGATTTCTGGAAGTTGCCCCCAGGCACTTCTGAAGTAAAGAACAGAAAACCGATTTCGCCTGCGTGTCCTAGTTTTTGCGTAAAAAAAAGATAAAGATTGGTATTTCGGGCACCCCTCAACTCACTCCCAGCCTTCAGGGTCACACCTGGTCGCACTCCCAGTGACGTCATTCGGAGTGCCGTGTAGCTTCCCTTGTGCTATCCCGGAGGACGCTTCCCCTCCCTCTCTCTGCGTGCATTAGCGGGCGTTATGCTGCGGCTTAGAGCCGAGCGAGGTCACGTAATCTTTCCGCCGTAGTTCCTTCGGCTGCCACTTGGGGCTGCAGGCGGGGGGAAAAGCTCGACCTTTGCTTTCCGATTAAGCAGCGGAATCGCGACATTTTTATTGAAGAAAGTGTTTTCTCTATTCTCCGGGACACGATAAACAACGTAAAAATGACGAGATGCAAATTATTTTAATCATAAAATCGTTGCACCGCCCCTTTAATAAAGATTCTTCGTTTTCCTCTCTTTGTCTACTGGCGTTGTGGCTACCTTCTCTTCTTCCTACTTGATTTTTCTGCTCCATCTCGGATACTGGTTTTCCGGAGGAATCTTTTTTCGCTTTCCTGTAGCGCAATAGATGGTGAACTTACGCAGTTTTCTTTATCTTCTATGGCCAAGGCCTCAAGTATTTCACGGGCGAGCTGGTCTTTGTGGTGAGCTAATATGGTAGCCAGTTCGAGCTTGGCCTCCCACGTGCATGCTCGACAATGAGCGGCTAAATGCCCCGGCCCTGTTAGGGCTCTTATGTTTGCTGCATGCTCACGTGCTCGATCGTTCACGCACCTTCCCGTTTGTCCAATATACACACGCCCACATGACAGTGGTATGTTATAAACTCGCATTGGACGCACTTATTCGTACTTAGTCGATGTGCTGCAGCGATCACTTGTCTTTACTCCTTTCTCCCTAATTTCGTAGTTCAGCTGGTTTAACCGCTAAAAGCTCCTTTTTAGTCGAAATGCAAAATATAAGTGGCGCGAACCGTTTCAATTATTTATAAAAGTATTTTTTGTTCAGTATTTTAGATCAGAAAAGAAACGAATGCAGTTTATAAAGTACGGAAACAAGAAATGACCCGTCGACATACCCGCCACCAAGCGGTGGAAAAGGCGGCACATACTAGAAAGGAGTAGGGGTGTCGCGAACCGGCCGAGGTCGAGTTCGGCGAAGTTCGACGAAGTTCGACTTTTTCGAACTTCTAGTGGAAAATTCGACGAACCTTGTATTGAGGTTCGACTCGTGCGCGCATGCGCGACCGGCTGACCAGTTGGCTTCGGATTGGATGGTGATGGCTAGGGGATGAATTAAGGGCAGCGCTGATTGGTTTTTTTCAGTTAATACAGTACAAAAAATTAATTTATTAACCTCTTCAGTGATAAGAATTGTTTTTTTTGAATTGCAACTGTTTATAAAACAAACAAAAAAACTTTTCATAAAAAGTTTTTTTTTTTCAAACCTAGACATGCTTGTATCAAGGTCTGGCCACACTGTCCACATAGTCGAACCGGTCGAATCTGGTCAAAAGTTCGAAGGTCGTCGAACCGGCTTGACCCAGTCGAACCCCGAAAGTTCGACCCAAAAATTTGGTTCGACAAAAGTTCGCGACACCCCTGGAAAGGAGTAGTGGGATCAGGCGCCGACTCGGAAAGGTCCCGGATGTACGCGGCGGCGCTGCGGTCGTATGGACAGGAGGATCCGACCGGCTTCGAGCGTTCCGAGGGCCTTCGGCGAGAAGCTTTGTCTTGCGGTTTGGCCGTTTCGCAGTATGGCAGCGCGAAGTGGCTCCCATTCTGAACTGATCTTTACCCCGTGTTTACTGTCGTTTGTGGCCAATGAAGTGTCATGCCGAATTAGTGTTTAATCGCGCAGCAAATGCAATGAGAGCCGCTCTGGCCACCCGCTGCATACAGCCTATCCAGAACATGCTTCAGTCGCGCGCTCTCGTGCCGTCGACACGGAGTGCGGCAGCCGTGATCGCTCGATGAGCTCACTACCCCTCCTCTAGTTCACAGCCACTCAAGCAACCAAGGACGTCATAGGGAGGTTATTTTTTGCTTGTTTTTGTAATTTTAATTCGCCGATAACTTTTAAAATAAAGCGAATTTCAAGAAAAGAAAAGTTTCACTAAGTTACTACGTTCAGTGCGCTCAGGTTCGGTGCAAATTAAAAACCAGTAAAAAAGTCCTTGCAGGGCCCCTTTAAGCAAAGTCACATATTCGAAAAAGCATGCACTGTATTTGGTCGTGACGAGATGTCGTGAATTAAAGATGTGCATCGTACCGGTGCGCGGTCATGTATCACTACCGCGTGGTCCACGTTAAAGATCCCAGCCTGCTCATCTACAGCTGAGACACCAAACGCCCACTGGGGCTGACTTCCGGCTGTACAAACATACACACCAGGCACGTAGCCAGGGGGCAGGCCCATGGGGCCAGGGGCTTCCCCCCCTCCGAAATTTTCCATTTTGCTGGGGCATACTGTCCCCCCCCCCCTCCCCCTCATAAAGCATTTTGACGTGCCAGCCCCCCCCCCCCCCCCCCCCCCTCCCAGCCCAAATCAAAATCCTGGCTACGTGCCTGATACACACAACGCAATTACTTCGTATTACTTCTGCTACATCGTAACTCTACAATTAAAAATTACTTCAAAAAGTTTCGGGGAAATTTATTTACTGTTTTTGGCTCAGTTTCCTGCTCTCAGTTCAGAAGACAGGTTTAGTTGTAAACGTTCAAATCGACGCCGAACGTCAGTTTCGGATTCGTTGATTTATTTTATACGAACTAATGAGCTTTAAAGAACCATATAAAAATATTGAGCATATTGCATGCCAGGTCCCTAGGAAGACGGAAAGCATACTTTAAATAAAAAGTTCAAGATCGTTTTTATGGTTTTACCAGTTTTTACTGTGACGATTTTATTCAAACCACTCACGCAAAAGTAAACCCGGAAATTGTTTTATTTACCGTTTGTTTACTATTTCATACCTTCGGATTTAAATCCAAAAATAATGAAGCAAGAACGGTTTATCCAAGGCTGAACACGAGCAAAAAGAAGTGCTCTTTTGAGCAAATCGGAGCGTTGGGCTCGACTTCTACCCTCCACTTCGTTCGTGAGCTACGTCACATCCTCCTGCAACAAAACCTAAACGCAAAGGCAACAAACACTAGAAAATGAATGTCCTGTTGCAATTAAATCAAAACGCGAAAGAAAAATCAAAGAAAAATTTTACTTAACCAAAATAAATCAGGCTGTTTTTGTTCTAGTGTGGCGGAGATTTCAGCAATGAAACGTTGTTAATTAAACTGTACCTTAGATTTAGAATAATTATTTTGTTTCCACATTGTTATCAGTGATCGGACGAATTGATCAATCTTCCATGTTTAGCAACACATCTGGTTGTAAAAAATGAATAATTTCTACGCTTAATGAAGAAATCGTCATTTATTTCCGCCCTGCCACCTTGGACAGGAATTGAAGGAAAGGATACTTTTCCTCTCCTTAGGCTGTCCAAGAGCTTCTAACAGAATTTCTTAGAAACAGTTTTTAAATTGGGAATATACAGATCACGTGGAGTTCTAAGCTTTGACATCATTTCCCAAACGCTGAAGCCATAATCGGGTACATTCTTGACTTTCAGCGTCGAGTAGTTTACTTCGGGAGTGCAAAAAGCACTTTTTTTTTCTCTTTTTTTTTTGCTTGGAGGTGTGACGCAGCACATTACGCCCGATATATTGAAGTACTAGATACGCTCAACGAAACTTCATACTTTATATTAAGTTATTCCTCTTTTATTTTGCCAAAAACTGAATATCCCGGAAAATGTGGGATCGCTAAAAAGACGGCTAAATTTGAATGCGGTCAGTGGCAATTTGCTTTCAAGGTCCGCTCGATACACGGGCATCGTCCACTGGCGCATTTGACGTTGCTTGAAAAGACAAACGCAAACGTGTCGATACGGCGTGTAGTAAATTGTTAATAGATTTAACTAAATCTCCCCTAATCACAAGGTTAAGATTGTAAAGCGGTATATTATTGTGTTTTCACTACACTATAATATTGTTCACTAAGTTAAATGCTAAATGGTGCTAGGTATCGAGCCGACGCTCCAGGTAAATTTCGTCTAAAATACACGACACAAGATATCTGATTTCGAAACTAGGAATAAAACGATTTGTGCAGTTCCCTAAAGCCTCACCAGGGAGCACTCAATACTCGCCTGATTGGTGCTGCCACCCTGTGGCAGTTATTCGAACTGTCGTGCACGCTCATGAAGCGTTCGTTATTGTGCGTAGTGCTCGTGGCTTTTGTTTGAGTGCGTTGATTTCACGTTCTTTTCAGGGTACGTAGAGAAAATACCACCCTCGATATTTCACGGAGGCCGGAATGGACGCTCGTCCCTTCAGCCTGCCAGTCTGCTGGAAAGACGACGTGCGTATGCGAGCTCTCTTCTCCGAGTTCCGATCCAAAGAAGCAAACCCGGAAGGCTGGCAGGACAAGATGGACTTTTGGGTGTCTCTCATCCTACAGTGGAGCCGCGAGACGCGAACTCCAGTGTTCTCGGCGTTCGACGTCGGGTCCGCGTTCGAAAGGAACCGAGCCCAGCCGGCCTGCCTGAACACCGTACTTGCCCACATGAAACGTTCGGGGGACTTGAGTGCTGCGGGCGAGTACTTCGCCAACGACGGTTGGGTCAAGTGGGGTTTCGACGTGCTGGTCAAGAAGCCGCTGAACTGGATGTGGGGATGGGGCGCCGCGGGTGAAGCCCCCGTCGATTGCGACGAGCTTTTCGTCAACGTGGACATCATTAAGCAACTCCAGAAAGAAGTCCTCAAACGCTGCGAAGACGAGAAATTCGTGGAAGACGTCGTGACCTACTCCGACGTGTGGAAGATCTGCCAGGGGATATGCAGGGACGAGAGGTCGTTCGCTTACGTCCTCACCAGCCTGGAGCGTTCCAAGCACCTGCGCGTGTTCTTAAAGGACGGTAAGAAAGCGGTTCAGTTCTTTCACCACCGCAGTCCGCTCAATGAGCAGGACAGGGCGCTTCTAAAGCTGGAAAAGGCGAAGCAAGACCTCAACCAGAAGGTCGAAGTCTTGCAGCAAGACATAGACCGCTGTACCCGCGAGGCGCTGGACGCGAAAAAGCAGGGCTTTCAGAACAAGGCGCTCTACATCCTCAAGAAGAGGCGGAGAGCACAGCAAGTCCTGGACAAACAGTTCGCGATGCTGGACAACATCCACTCGCTCGAGATGAACCTTGCTGAGAAGAAAGACATCGAGGCTGTCTATGATGGCTACAGGACTGCGGCGCAGGCGCTCAAGGTGGCCCACGGTGGCATCGAGGCAGACGACGTGGATGACGTGGTGTCAGAGATTCATGGTTCAATCGAAGAGCAGCAGGAACTGAGTCGTCTCATGGGTGCAGCGGCCGTCTCCAGCGATTTGGACATGGACGACCTGGAGGCTGAGCTGAGCCAAATTCTGAACGACTCCACAGAAGAGCCCCAGGACACCAGCCAGGTCTCCGATGGGGGACTGCAGTATCCGGCAGTCCCGACTGAAGAGCCCCATTCGCCGCCCAAAGCAACTGTGCCACCAAAGCCGCCGAGGCCCACAACTCTGTTGCCTTCAAAGTGACCTGCATCCATTGTCATTTTTCTCTGTGCGTGAAATAATTTGATTGAAATTGTGTCATGTTCTAATTTTATTCAAAAACAGATTTCTTTTTTGCAACTTCAGCGGTTTGTTAACATACATTTTCGTATGTTCTGATTGGTGCAATCAGTTTTGCAAGTCTTACTATTGCCAACACATCTGTTGCCCCATATCAACTGCAGTGTTTGTTTTGAGTTACTCCATTAATCCACTAAATAGATGGATATAATGTGCCGCCACCTACCTATGCAAGATTAAATTGTGGTTTGTGGTTTCCTTACTCTTGAACATTACATGCTTATAGACCGACACGCTGTTTACAAATAAGCCCGAGTTCACCCACCCCAGGTGTGGGCGGCACTGCGCGTGCGCAGAAACCAGATTCATGTGAAGTGAAGCGTCTGCGCATGCCCAGTGCCGTCGGCAGCGCCACCGCAGCTGTGTGACGTCAGGGCGGCGTGTTCGCCTATAGACTTTTGCAGGTTAGAAAACCAGGACAAGCTCCTTCTGCAAAGCCCTTCATTTTCTCCTTTTTAAAGGTGCAAACACTGGAGATGGAGAGGAGACTAGTCTTCTCTCCTCTTCGGCGTTCGCTCTGCTAAAAAGGAAAGAAGAGTGGAGGGCTTTGCGAAAGGAGCTTCTGGTTTCTTATTTTGCAACTGACTATAGAGTTCCTTGCCATTTGTGTTCCGCAACATTTTTCCTCAAAAACATGTACGTGATCAAGCATTTGTTACAGGTTTGCCACAACCGTAATAAAAATTTGTAACCTATGACATATGTCACAGTAGCACTTCGGTGCTACTGTGGCATATGTCATATTGTCCAAAACAATGAGCTGAACGGAAATTGGACAGTAAAACACTAGCTCCACGCTATTTTTGAAAGATGAGCTATGCACGAGAATTTACCAAGCGGAAATCAGAAATATGCTTTCTTTCGTAAAGAGCTGAATGATAATGTCCTTACAGTAAATCCCTGTTGTGGTTAGTTTTCAAGAAATAGTGTAACTATTCTTGCATACAGATTCAAATTTCTGTTTGATTTTCAGCTTGTTTTTCTTTACATATGTTCTGCCTTTTACTCGAGATTGTGGAAGGAGTGGAAAACCCTTCTGTAGACTGCAATAAGGCCATTACCATTTAAGAAAGCTAGGACTTTTTTCAGGAATGTTCAGTTGAGTGTTCTTTTGTCAGGAAGGTGCCTCCGAATGCCACGAGAAACATGTTTGCACCCTTTTCTCCGTCACTCATCAAATGCTTCTGCAAAAGTTACTTGTCTGCGTTGACATACTTGAGTGTAAACTAGCCGGTGTTTCCACAGGGCTGTGCCATAAGGTGTAGGCAAGGTGATGTTAATGCATGCTGCCAAGACATTGTTCAGAATGGCAGATTTCAAAGGACTGGTCACTATATAATTCATGGTTCAAGAGCTATCCTTTTCTTCGTCTTCACATTTAGATCATGTTGCGACGACAGTTTTTATCCCCTTTCAGTTGTAAGAGGGTGTTGCCACCTGTACATGTAGGCAGTCTGCTTGTACACCTGTACAAGCAGACTGCCTACATGAGCTGTTGGCATTGTACATCCACAGGGACCTGATCTGCAAGGTATGAAGCGTATGCAGGCATCGATCTTCACATGGCTAGCATGTGACATCCCTGCATGATGCTGGTGGTTAGGGATGCTGCAAACATTTGTCGAGGTTCGAACTAGTCCTTTGGCAAAATTTGAAAAAGTTTGACGTCTTGATCAGTGTTGTCTGCTTCTATACATTCAAAGTTTAGGAGAAAATTGTTTATACAATAGCCAGCTTACATTATTAGAGAATGATTACCGATGATCGCACAATCTTGAAGCAGACATAATTTGTAATAATTTAGGTATACCCTGCCGCAAAGCCCTCCACCCTTTCCACTTAGCAAAGCAGACACCGGAGAGAAAGCGAGACGAGGCAAGGAGTGACTCGCCTCCTTTCCGGTATTCGGTCTGCTATACTGCTAAGTGTAAAGGGTGTAGGGCTTCGCAGGAGGGGCTTGGCCTGCTTTTCTTCACCTGCAACAGCGCTAGTTTGAAAATGGCGTGTCCATCCTCGGTCAGAAAACGTGTTTGTCTTACTTGAACTCGTGAACTTGGAGTTATAAGTTGGAAGAAGTGGAACTCGAACCTCGGCGGGTTCGCTCACGACGTCCCTTTGGTGGCGATTCCAACCCACTCCTTGTCAAAGTGGCCTTGAAAATTTCCAGCAAGCAAAATTGGCAGGTGGCGCAAGCTACCGCCTGGTGTAAAGGTGTAATATCCATCCATCCGTCCATTGCTCACGAAGCGCGTGATTGGACTCGAGTCTTCGCCGAACGCTGACGCAGGCCTCCTGTCCAATACATGCTCAGATTATGTCAGCAAGCAATGGCGGGCAAGTGTTGGCGCGGAATTTTGAAAAGGGGCTATTGCGTGGGCAAGAGCGGTCCCGCGATTCAAGCCCGGTGCGCAGCATGACCTGTATAGACCTGTATGCTGCAAGCAGCGCCAACTTGCACTCCAGGACTTGAAGATAGGGAATTGCTCACAAAAAAAGGAAGTATTAAGCTATTAAACTTAACTCTGTAGCAACTTTTTTTTCCTCTAGCCGTAAATGGCAACGCTGCCTTTATATACAGGGTGTTCAATTTTATTTGGAAGACAAATGCCCTCTTCACCATAAATTTATCTGGCTCGGTGAGCACTATAGAGGGGATAATCGTCATGCGAAGTTGAATAATTAAATGTTTTAACTTTATAATTATTGGTTTTAGGGGTCATGTTATTAAAGTCCAAACCAATTCAAAGAATTTGCGAACAGCTGATGTTTTTTTAGATGTTAATCGATCAGTGGTCACGATTTTTCACCTGATTTAAAATTTTAGCTGAAAAAGAGCTCAAGCCCTGCCCAAAATTACACTTAGATGAGTGACCGTAGTCGTTTAGATTACGTTATCACGTGTCGGCGCACTCGCCAAGGACATGCTGCCGAGATAATGACGGCATCATTAAAACGACGACGTCACTCCTCCAAATGTTATTGTGGGCAGGGCTAGCGATGCTCATTTTTGACGCAATATTAAAATCATGCAAAAAAAAAACGCAAAAATTATAATAATATTAAAAAAAAAAACATTACATTTCCCTCAAATTCCTTATATTGGTCTGGCCTCTAACATTAATTGATGTCAATACTGCAATTCCAGCATGGCTTTTAAACGGATACCTCAACGAAATTTGAAATATACCCGTCGTTTTCAGAAAGAGGCTGCATATAATTCACAGTATCCGTAAATGACAATCGCACGTTTGTATTTCCAGCCTGATGGCTGTATTTATCGTTATAAAAGGCCCACTCTGGCAAGCGCTCGGAGAGCAGCCAGCGGAGACACGTCACATCTGGCGCAATCGTGACGTAGTCTGTCTCGGGATGCATAGAGTTATTATAATGTACGCTAGAGGTTCAAGTGGCGCTAGTGTGCTGACGCAAATTGAAGCAGACAGCAACCAGTCGAAAATTGACTTCCGGTAATGCATTTCTATGGGAAAAAGTGACTGCATTTTCTCCTTGGGCTCGATCATAAGAGCAAATATCCCGAATAATTCGTACGCACTAGGTTGTTTGGAACATTTCTGAGTCAGGCCGACGAAAGGATTGGTCAGTTACGGCGTTTTTCTTTCGAATTCATCGCACTAAAAACGTTGCTAAAACACCTTCGTACGTGTATTTATGTGCACTGTCGGACACTGTTAGCGCGAACGCGGCGTCGGCGATTTCCGGCATGTTGGGATATACATGCCCAATGAACGAAGGATGAAAATTAAGGGAGACGGCAAGAACTACGCGTTAACAATGGATCAGTAACTCGCAGTGCATGTACGATCAAAACAAATTGAAGGCCACGTTTATTCCGATTTTAAATAAGTGAGTACCGCTTTATTCTTTCTGCCATGAGCGAAGCTGCTTGTTCTACGTTCAAAATATCATCCGCGCATGGATATCTTTGAGAACAAGTGCGCGATAAAAACTCCCCGCCAGAGAAAACAATACGAAGAGACACCTTTCGTGTTTGCTACCGGGATGAACGGAAGACTTCCAGCCGCAGGCCAGGACGGACAGGCCCAAAAAAGCCCCTAGTTTATTCCAGCAATCCAATATATACAGAGGTCCGGTCACATGATAATAGACAAGCACGGTACACTTTCCGCAAGTCATATCGAGGGGTGATAGATGTCCGGTCACATGATGATAGACGAGCACGGTACACTTTCCGCAAGTCATATCGAGGTGTTACAGTACCACGTGACAGTATCGCGCTATACGCAGAAGACCGATAACACCACACCCACGGACTTTATTCTCTACGTTTTGAATGTTTTTATCCGCTCATGCACGACGGGATCATTTTCATTTGGCTACAGGACTGGCATATTATCAATATATAAGCGTCACCGGAATGCTGGCAAGCCTTGAACGCACTCCATATTCGTTTCGATTGTAATTTTGCATTAAATCGTCGCTTGTTTTTACACACCTACTGCGGAACACACGTTTGGGACTAAAATGTAGCGAACTTAAACATTGCTCACTGATGAAGAAAAATGCGCTAAGTAAAGCAATTACTCTTTTACAATGTTAATTAAGACACATACTATTCGGTACGATCGAAATGACCAAAGTGTTCGGTGTTATTTTCTGGCGAAGAGATAAAATGCACGCGCGTTTTCCCATAGGAATGCACAGGAGCACCGCAAAAGTAGACTGGTTGCTGTCTTCTTCAATTTGCGTCACGGAAGTCGCATAGACACTAGCGCCAGTTGAACCTCTAGCGTACATTATAATAACTCTATGTCGGGATGAGCAAAGCTGCGGCGGGGCTGACGTCGTCAGGATGCCCTAGCCTAGGGAGCCTTCATGTGCCCTAGCCGTTCCAGCCACCGAAGCGGTCGGAGCACGTCAACGATCGGATCACCGCAACTTACTGCAAAGCTGTGTTTGTGTGAATGTTGAGTGACGGTTTAATCTTCTATAATAGGGACCTTTAGCAAACCGTTGCCGTGCTTGATATTTTTATGTATATTGCTTGCTCCGTTTTATTTAAAGCCCCATTTTCACAGAAATAACTAGTGGATGGTAATGACTATACCCTTTGTAACGGGCGGCAGCTTGCGCCACCTAGCCTAACATTTCGCCATCCCTTCTTCTTTTTTCTTTTGTTTTTTTAATTCGTATGCATTTTACTCTAACACAACACCCTCTCCCCCCCCCCCCCCCCCCCTTTTTAAAGTGTTTCCATTGCCTGTTTTGTGTATTTTTATTCCTCCTTAGATATTTTCCACCAATCTTCCAGTCTCTTCTTATACTCCGTCTCACCTCACGTCCGGACGCAACGGACGCCTACGAGCTATCCCACCCAATCCCGCTCTGTGAAGGCAGCCCGTGATACACTTTCCGCGTGTCGCTGTGCCCCCTCTCCAAGGTCGCGTGATACTCACACGGACTTGGATTGGCCCCGATGGGTCGCAGCATCCGCTGCGCTCGGACGTAGGGTGACACGGAGTATGGTTACCGCAACTCTTTCCCTTTCCATTCGTCAATCCATGTTTACAAATCCCAGTGCCCCCTCCGAATCCGTAGTCGTCACCCCCAACACGGTGGGACGAAGTCCCATGCACCTTAAAAGTACATGTTCTATAGGTTCCCTTTCGCGGTGGCATATGTCGCATAGAGTGTCTACTTCCTGGAATTTAGCCCTATATGTTTTCGTTCTTAGCACCCCCCCTTCTAGCTTCAAACAGCAATGAGTTCCCCAATGAATTATCATACAACTGTTCCTTCTATATTTCTTGTTTTTGTGCCCTGTAAATTGTTAAAGCTGATTTCCCCTGCATTCTCTCTTCCCACAATTTCCTCTCTGTTTCCTTGACTCTCTTTTTTACTGATGTGCTCTGATCGGCGCCATCTCGTTGAATGTATTTAGTTCTCAGCTTGCGGGTTCGGTTTGTCCAATTCGTGTTTTGACTTTCCATATACTTGTACACTTTCGC